TTACTGAATAAATATGAATACATGATCTAGATGCAGATCTCTAGCACGATATATATAGAGAAACATCAAAGTTATTATTTTACTGAAGGGTTGGGATTCAAGATAGCAACTATAAGAGACACTCCAGACTCCTAAAGCACCTTCACTTGCTGAAGTGCTTTGTGAGTGAAGAGTATATCCTGTTTTTTTTTTTTTTCATTTTACAAAAAGTGCAGATTTCAACACAAATTGACAGCTCATCCCCTCCCCAGCTGTCAATCAGACAACTGGTCCTGTTACTTCCTGGTTGTTTAGTTCAGTGGAGATAAATTCAATAGGCAGCAATTCTTATTGAACTGCATCAGGACTTCTGTGGCTGGACAGTAAGTCTGGGCTGCCTGGTTTAGGCTTCAATGTTACTTGTAACAATGTTACAAATGTTACTTTGTATATATAAAAAAATACCCCATGTTTTGAGAATTGGAATATTATGGGGAAATAGTGCCATAGAAGAATTCTGTTGAAACAATAAATTATTAGATTTTCGCAGACAGATAGAAAAGGCAGTAACCATGTCAATTCCCTGTGTGTAGTTTAAAGTAAACAATCACAACTTGGGGCTCACAATGCAGAACACACTGGGGGCATACTATTTTAGCTGGGTAAAGTTGACCAGAGGTTTCGTAATAACTCAGAATACTGGAGGAATTGGTGGGAACGGAGACAAAGGTTGAGTTCGAGCCTGGTTGATTGAAGGTTGACCAAAGGACAAAATCTGATGATCAATATTTGGTTTCGTTGCATTGTCTTGTTGGGCTTTTTAGCAGTTGTAGACCACAAATTAGTACAGAACAACTGCTTAGGGAATAATGGAGGGTGAAGGGAGAAAAAAACTAAAGATAAGTATGTGACTGATGAGGAAAACACTGAAAAAGAAGGATAAGGAGAGAGATGACACAGAACCACCATACTATCAGGAAGTCACAGAGAAAGCCTTTTGGAGGAGATGATGATCAGCATTGTAATGTGTTCAGTTGCCTAAACCACAGACCTCAAGATTCATAACTCAACAGATCTAAAAAAAAAGAAGCCTACTGCACTGTTCTAAAGATTGCAATCTATAAACTTCAGTCCACAGGACCTGTAAATCCAAAAGAGTAAAGAAGATAAGGTGATGCTGACCATTATTAAAATTAATTTTAGACTTTTTTGAAGAAAAGCTGGTTCTTTCTGGGTTTCTCAATAACTCCAAATTCATTAAAAACACTAAAGGCTCATTTTGTTTGTTTCATGGAATTCACAGAACATGAATCAAATGAATCAGCTCCCCATTGTCCATTTTGCTTGTTTTGAGAATCATCGATATAGTGTTTCTGGGATATTGGACCAACCACCAATCACCCAAAATTGGAATAAATTCTGGTTTGGATGAAACCAAATGCTCAAGTCTAGTAATCACTAGATCACAATCGCTGCCAAATGTTTCACATTTTCCCCACAGAGATTAACAGGAGTTGCTAAAATCTAGGTAAGAACTGGTAAAAATGACTCCTTGTCACTATCGGACTAGAAATGATACCTCTCTCATTTAGGTGCAAAATGTTAAAGACTAGTTAACAACAGCACACCCTCAATACATCTTATATTAAAAAAATCTTTAATTCTATATTTAAGCATATTTTAGCACTGATGCATTGGTGTATGTAGTTCTCAAAGAATGTTAAAGAAATGTGTTAAATCAAGAGCCCCTGTGAGTTTTAGACTAAAATAACATTCTTTGCATGTTGATGTTGGGTGTGAAATAGATTCAACTACTGGTTCTGACGCTAGACAATGTACTTGTTACCAGCAAGTATGGAAAGAGCCATATGTTGTTATAAATCATATTGACTAAATTACTAATTGTAGACACTTTAATAAACAATATTTTTTATGTTAAAAGCCCTAGAAGCTTTAATGCCATATGAAATCACACTGTGTTTCTGACATATTGCCAACTCTATGTCAGCCACATGACATTATGCAAAAAGCCCGCTCCACCCCAAAAATGGAAAAGCAGCATCAATAGTCCAGCTGATTAAAAAGTTTGCTGTCTCTGTAAGATCCCCAGCTTCTCCCCAATTCTTCATCTCCTTCCCATAAATGATGTCAACTTCATTCTAGTTCTGACAAATCCCCAACAATCATGTGGTGTGTCCACAGGCTACGATGTGGGGCCGTAATACTCATACAGCTATTGCGTTAGGCCTAACTTATTGGAACTTAGAAATTCCAACTTAGAAGAATAGAACAAAGTCCAGATTTTTTCTTCTCTAAAAATCAATTAGTCAATATCACTAGAACCAAAGAAAGCCTGTCAGGCATAGTCGCAATAACAACCCAAATAAATATCAAAACTAGTCAGCAGATAATGGCAGACACAACATATTTATTAAATATTTAACCAGACACAAGGTTATTGATACATTTCTGGATAGTGCCCTGTGTGACTTTAAAAACTGTTTATTTTTACCATGGTCTACCCAGACTATTATTTATGATTATTATTATTTTTTAAGTTAAATCTGTGTGACGACTTTCAATTACGTTTGCCCAATTTTCTGCCCTTTCCTTCTGTTTTCTCAAGGGGAAGTGAAAATAGTCATAGCTCAGCTTTAATTGTGCAAGACTGGATTGATTACCACATATAAATTTTAAATGCTTCAAACCACTCTCAGTAATGCCATTCGCGCCAAATCCAGTGCTTCCATCAGAGCAATATGAAATGTGGCACACATGGACAGAGCAAGGTGCCCACTCCAGTGCTTCCATCAGAGCAATATGAAATGTGTCACACATGGACAGACCAAGGTGCCCAATCCAGTGCTTCTATCAGAGCAATATGAAACGTGTCACACATGGACAGACCATGGTGCCCAATCCAATGCTTCCATTAGAGCAATATGAAATGTGTCACACATGGACAGACCAAGGTGCCCACTCCACTGCTTCCATCAGAGCAATATAAAATGTGTCACACATGGACAGACCAAGGTGCCCAATCCAGTGCTTCCATCAGAGCAATATGAAATGTGTCACACATGGACAGAGCAAGGTGCCCACTCCAGTGCTTCCATTAGAGCAATATGAAATGTGTCACACATGGACAGACCATGGTGCCCAATCCAGTGCTTCCATCAGAGCAATATAAAATGCGTCACACATGGACAGACCAAGGTGCCCAATCCAGTGCTTCCATCAGAGCAATATGAAATGTGTCACACATGGACAGACCAAGGTGCCCACTCCAGTGCTTCCATCAGAGCAATATGAAATGTGTCACACATGGACAGAGCAAGGTGCCCACTCCAGTGCTTCCATCAGAGCAATATGAAATGTGTCACACATGGACAGACCAATGTGCCCACTGCAATGCTTCCATCAGAGCAATATGAAATGTGTCACACATGGACAGACCAAGGTGCCCACTCCAGTGCTTCCATCAGAGCAGTATGAAATGTGTCACACATGGACAGACCAAGGTGCCCACTCCAGTGTTTCCATCAGAGCAATATGAAATGTGTCACACATGGACAGACCAAGGTGCATAAAATCAGTGCTTCCATCAGAGCAATATGAAATGTGTCACACATGGACAGAGCAAGGTGCCCACTCCAATGCTTCCATCAGAGCAATATGAAATGTATCATACATGGACAGACCAAGGTGCCCACTCCAGTGCTTCCATCAGAGCAATATGAAATGTGTCACACATGGACAGACCAAGGTGCCCACTCCAGTGCTTCCATCAGAGCAATATGAAATGTGTCACACATGGACAGACCAAGGTGCCCACTCCAGTGCTTCCATCAGAGCAATATGAAATGTGTCACACATGGACAGACCAAGGTGCCCACTCCAGTGCTTCCATCAGAGCAATATGAAATGTGTCACACATGGACAGAGCAAGGTGCCCACTCCAGTGCTTCCATCAGAGCAATATGAAATGTGTCACACATGGACAGACCAAGGTGCCCACTCCAGTGCTTCCATCAGAGCAATATGAAATGTGTCATACATGGACAGACCAAGGTGCCCAATCCAGTGCTTCCATCACAGCAATATGAAATGTGTCACACATGGACAGACCAAGGTGCCCACTCCAATGCTTCCATCAGAGCAATATGTAATGTGTCACACATGGACAGACCAAGGTGCCCACTCCAGTGCTTCCATCAGAGCAATATGAAATGTGTCATACATGGACAGACCAAAGTAGCTACATCTAAACAGTGCCGTGCAACTCAACATTTACCGTGTATTCTAGGCTGATTGGACATAGGCTCAATGACGGCCTCCTCATTATGTTTTTTATTCTGATCAGGTGAGCTAAGTCAGAGTACGTCATCCTATAGTCAGCACCACTCTGATACACTACTGCAAAAAATATTCTAAGATTTCAAATTAACATGCTGTATAGTGAAAAAGTCGCCAATGTTAATGCAGAAAAGCCCCCAAAATAGCTATTCAAATCCTCACATAAACATTGCAATGTTTTAGAATTTTCTTTATAAAATGTAGATGCTGTGTAGCTGTATGTTTAACCCCTTAAGAACACATGACATGTGTGACATGTCATGATTCCCTTTTATTCCAGAGGTTTGGTCCTTAAGGAGTTAAGAAGGTATTTCCGTGGTTATAGAACCATATTTGTTTTCCAGATTAGATCAAACCCTCTTCCATTCCAAATGAGTAATGTTACTAGGAAGGTCTGTCATTTATTTCCCTAATATTAAACTTGAGAATGGAGCCAATGGCTGAAAAAGGTTTACGACCTGATGCAGCAATAGGCAGCGCTGAATCTGTAAACGTGTAAGGACGGATATGTTTTCCTGACACTGGAAAGATAATGTAGCATTTATTAAAAGAATCGGGAAGTAACTTATCAGGACAGCTGTTTGCAGATGTGAAAGTGGAGAGGGGAATGCTCTGTAGAAAATAAATAGATTGTAGCAAATAATACCAAGACGCTTTTGTGAGATCTTACAGGAAATTTTTACTACTGTAGAATGAAAACATACAAAAGCAAGCAACATCAACGTTTATTGGGCTTATATCAAAGAATATCTGATATAAAACATTACTGGAACAGTAATACGAAGCTCAGATCTTTTTATAAACATTCTTTATCTTCCAGAAAACAGTAATATAATTTGAATGGTAATAGACAGGTTATGAGCTAGGATGCCAAAGGGCAATCTGAGAATTTGCCAAATACCTACCATCCAATGGAGCTACAATCTAGTACAGTACAGGAGGGTAATGGGATGGCCATAGGAGAAATGCAGGCAGACCAGTGAGGGAGAAAACCAGTAATAGACCCCCAAGATTTTACTCCCCTTACTTTTTTATTTATACACTGTTAGGACTTATAATACAGATCTCAGCACGTGCTATCATTAATAGTACAAAAAAATTTATTCTGAGCAATTTCGTATCTGCCAACAGAAAAATGCCTGAAAATGTCCAAATGCCATACAAAGAGACATTTGTATATTTATCACACACTTAAAGGGACACTATAGTCACCAGAACAACTCCAGCTTATTATTATTTTATTATTATTTTATTATTTATATAGCGCCATCAGAATCCGTAGCTCTGTACAATTGGTATTATTGAATTTGTTCTGGTGAGTAGAATCATTACCTTCAGGCTTTTTGCTGCAAACACTGTCTTTTCAGAGAAAATGCAGTGTTTACATTACAGCCTAGTGATAACTCCACTGGCCACTCCTCAGATAGCTGTTAGAGATCCTTTCTGCGTCATGGCTGCCTAAAATGCATCCAAACATTCAGTATCTCCTCCCACTGCATGCAGACACTGAACTTTCCTCATAGAGATTCATTGATTCAATAATCTCTATTAGGAGATGCTGATTGGCCAGGGCTGTATTTGAATCATGCTGGCACTGCCCCTGAAATGCCTCATTGTCAGTCTCAGCCAATCCTATGGGGAAGCACTGTGATTGGCTCAGAACAACACTTCTCATGATGTCAGCAGACAGCAGACAGGTCTGGGGCAGAGGCAGACTTGAATACAAGTAAGATTGTACTATATTTAGGGAGGCAATGGGGGCCAGTGGGGCCAGGTGGTGGTTTTAACACTATAAGGTCAGTAATACATGTTTGTGTTCCTGACCCTATAGTGTTCCTTTAAATACTTTTGAATAAACACAGAGTATGAAGGAAGGTCGCTTGTTCCCCCATCCACATATATATTTATCAGAAACTTGATGGAGGGGAAGAGCGAATATCCTTACAGGGTTATTCACTAAAGTGAGAATTGTTGGAAATTCAACGTTAACATAACATTTTAGACCAATTCAGTTATTTTGGCCTTGCATTTCAGATTCACTTAGAATTTACTTTCAGTTTCAGATAATTCTCACTTTAGTAAGTCAACCAATTTGTTGTGTGGAGTGGGGTGGTTATAAAAGGGATTAAGTAACCCAACAACAAAATGTACCCCTAGGAAACAGAACAATGGGGACAGTTGTAAAACAAAGGTACCTCTGTTGACATAGTGAAACAGGATTGAATTGCCATTTACTCAGAAAGGACATTGGATGTATATGTCAACAATACTCACACAGCTGGAAAAGTTACTACCTTACAGCATTCTGCACAGTAATACAGTTTACTATGCGCCATCATGGACAGGGAAACACAATGCATTGTCCAATGAGTGATTAGTTTTAATGTTCATCAGGACGATGGGGTTACCTTTTCATTACAGGGTACATAATATATTTATATGTACATACAAGAAAAGCTTAGTAGAGGGGGGCTTTTTTAGAAGATGGAGACTGCCATTAAAGTAATGGAATTTATACAGCTGGCATGGGTAGTGACATAGAGTAAAAAAAGAACAAATGGAGTAAAGGGTAAGGGATTGTCTTAGAATTGGGGTAGAATGGCTTGAAAGGAGTATAGGAGAAACTGTCAAAGAGGAAGGGCACAATGGGATAGAGGAATGAAATGAATGGGTAAACTGACATGGAAGGAAATATGGTTATAGGAAAGTACAAGGGAGATTGGCATTAAGATGGGGAGTAAGGATTGGCATAGGAAACTGACCTGGAGAGGGAAAACGATTTTTGTCCAGGGGGCCAGGCTTCAGGGTACACTGGATAGCTGTAACAAAATGGGATTCACTTCTTCATTTAGCTCTAAACTGATAGGTGTACCTTGCCTCATCTGATTAAACCCTAATGTGAAATATACACAAGGTACTAACAAAATGAGACTGGGACCAAGAGACCAGAGTAAAGTTAGGTGCCCTTTATCCTGCCTGTATAATGTTGACTCAGATCCATTTTGGAGTCCACTTTTAAGGAATTCTAACTTCTTTATTGGTTGGATCAAATCTGGAGAACAAAGCCAAAACAAAGGGTTGGATGAATTGGTTCATAAGTGTTACGATAGTTAAACCCACTTAACTGTAGATACATCCTAATTCAAAAAAAAAGAGAAAATAAAAAAAGGTAAGGAAACATATTACAGAATGGTAGAACTCATGAAGATATCTCCAATGAGGAGTATAAAGGACAAAATTTTAAGTAAATATATTGTCATGTTCATTTAGAATAAAATAGAGTAATCAAGTCAAGTAAGGAAAATTGTGGAATCCCATAAAACCTCAAACAAAACTCCTAACGCAGAACCTTGACCTATTACAAACTGGTCTATGGTTAAGGGAGAAGGGTGCATTTATAAAAACAATAAAAGCTCTATTTATGGTCAGTTAAATGAAATGAGGGCAATGGTAACTGCAGAGTACCAACATATCCTTTAGTACTGTGAACAAAAGATAGGATACATACCTAAACATACAAAACACAACTCTATAGAACTGTTAAGTAATTGAGGGACACCTTAAAATAAACTTCATAAGATGAAACCTGACATCAGCTGATGCTCTCAGCCTACTGGTGGTGTCTGGTTCAAGACTTCCTCATTACAGCCTTGGTCCTTAATTGAAAGTAGAGCGATCAGGCACCATCTTCCAGGTTTGGAGTTAAACTATTTGTTAATAGTTTAACCTATATAGATAAGATGCAACTTAATTGCCATGAAATGATTATCGTGCCAGGATTGTCTCTTTAAAGGGTATAGTCTCCCAATCTAGTCCATCCAGAGTGAGGGCAAAGGTTAATCGTAAAAAGTGTCTTCAAGTGTCATCTGGAGAAGGAGAACTTTATAAAGGTATGCATATTTCCTATTATTTTAGTAAATATTATTAATATTATTTAAACAGCACCAATGTGGAACTTTACAATTACAGAAACATGATATTTAATCATCAGTTGACATACAAAATATTAACAGAGATGAGAGGTGAAGAAGACCATGCACAAACAAACTTGCAATCTAGTATAAATGGCCTTCACTATTCCTTACGTTCACATCGTGTGAATTCTCAAAATGAAAACAGAAACAATCATTTAATGGAAATTTTATTTATTTCAAAGAAAAGGGAAGAGTGGATATGTATAAAATAAAAGGAGAAATGATACTATTCACTAATACAAGTAAAAGGTTAAAAGATGTTTATCATGTTCTGAAATACATGTTTTCTCTTTCGAATTTAATATCATCTATAGAACACAACCTGGCCGGGTTGAGTTTTATCATTTTAATAACTGGACTGTTCGATCAAAGATCAACAACCACAAACTATTATAAATCTTCCTGGTACAATAAAATGTGGATTAACCATTTTCTTTGAAGAAATAACACACAATCATATAGCTGTAGAACTGAGGGATACACTCGACGTTAGGGCAGAATTCCATTTCTATCTGGTATGCTAAGTAAATCAGTTAGTCAAAAGTCTTTTTGTAATGCAAAGGAACTTTGTTGGTAGCCAAGTACAGAGGAAGATCAGTATTTTTCGAGTACAGATGATCTGAAAAGCTCAACAATATACTTAACTTAAGTCAACATCTTGGAGGATGAAATTGTATTGCTTAAGAAATTGAAAGAATATATACCTGTGCTTTGAAATACTTATAATATGCTATAGGTATGTAGTACAGAAAAAACTGCAATGTTGGGGTTGTGTATAAAAAATTGTTTGTACTAAAATAAACAGAAAAATTGCCATTTGGATCTTTGGTGTAACAACTCTCACACATCATCTTCATGGAACAACTCATAATTGTATCTAGTCGTAGGACATTGATTTTTCATGGTACCACTGACTGTAAATGGAGGTGCTAATTCCATATCCATAGATTTCAGCTGCCTACGAAGAGATGGAGAAGACACAAGAAGAGAGAAGTCACAAATCAGAAAGGGAGGTTGAGGTTTTGAAGTTCTACTGGATAGCTGCCCCGGGTTTCTTACTATTTATTTATTTTATTTATTTAAAAAATATTTTACCAGGAAGGATACATTGAGATTTCTCTCGTTTTCAAGTATGTCCTGGGTCCACAAATCATTGCATTGTTACATTAGGATACAACAAAATACAAAAACAATATTAATACACAATATATACAAAATTTTACTATTGTTATTTCCACAGGAGGAAACAGTTCATGAGAATGAAAGGAGGATTAAAGCTAATAAAGTAAAAACATGATCACTGACATAACCATAAAATGGGAACTGTCACATCTCTGGAAATTACACCATTATATAATTTATTGAAAATAACCTCCAGTTTGTGTTAACCTTTTCTTTAAGTGATGCTCTAATTTCTTTTAAATTTATGTTAAAGATTTTGTAAATTCCATAGTAACGAGTTCAATCCAGGCACAGCCAAGGCACACATTGCAAATAAGGATGAGACATGGACACATTTTTTCATGTGTCCTCTTCTCTGTATGCTTTTTCTATGATGGCTGCCAGGTACATAGGACAAAGTTTATAACAATCACTGGCAGGGAGCTTAATCTTGGAAGCACTATTTACAGGATAAAGATGGAGGTGTGGATTTCTAAATGTAAATGCAATTAAATTTTTTGTACCTCATAAATACATATTTGTTAAATATAGGAATAAATGAACATTTATACACTAAAATTACATTTTGATATACACTATCAAGCTATCAAGTACATGCTCCAATCACTTACCGAATGCTGTATAGATTGAAAACAAAACTGGTTTCTAGGATGTAAATCAGAAAGAGAATTAATTACAATAAAGCCAGTTTAGTAGTAAATAGTACAAATTCATATTTTATATATATATATATATGTATATATAACGATATATATACATATATATATATATATATATCTATATCTATATCTATATATAAACTTTGAAAGAAAACACACTGTGCAGTAAGATCTGATTATAAATGCAAGCATTTTTTCATGGAGACTGTGTGAGTCACAGCCAGTGAAGATGTGTCAAGGGTTGTATAAACAACAACAAAATTGATTTAACTACTAGATTCTAGAGAACTGAGCAGTGAGACAGCAAGGGCATGATCTAGAACTAAAAACTTCATTAAGCGAAAGTTGTTTTGGGGCTTACAGTGTCCTTTTCATACATGTACGTGGTTATCCACTTAAGTGAAAAAACGGTTGCATTTATAATCAGATCTTACAGCACAGTGTGTTTTTCTTTAAAGTTTTATCTCCCGCTCTATTAATTGACCTTCAATCACACACAGAAGGCTCATCCAGGCTTTAGCATGCTTTTAACAGAGCATGATATAAAATTGATTATGCAAATTCCAGTAAAATACATTTTAATTGCAAAATATAGCATTGCCTAGAAGATGTGCAGAGGAGATTTGCAAGTATGATTACACACATACAATACATATTTCTGCACACATGTATTTTCACAAGTGACATGTATATTTACAACAGACATTTTTGAACAAAGGAGCTATGGTGCTTACCACTGTCAAATACGTTAAGGTTCCCATAAATCTGATTCTTGGCTGATCGTATGTTAACGCAGAGCCTAAGGTAAATGTTTACTGCTTTTTTTTGGCAAAATGCCATTGATCAGGTTTACACAAGTAAAGATTTCAGGTTATGTAAGCTTATTCAATATTTTGATGTTGTTTTTGCAAAACGTACGTAAAAATATTTACCTGTTTACATTGAATTTTATTTATTTTTTAAATACTGCTATGCTTGTTAAATCAAAGTTACAAAAAATTGATTTAATTAATGAATATTGTACTTATGCTATTTAACTTTACACTTCATACTGACAAAATAAATATATTTAACCTCACTTGTTGATTAACCTTTGTCACATGTTTCGCAAATATTTTATTATTGTTATATCACCACTTGGTTTATTATTACAATATTCACCAACTAATTACTGTGCGTACATTGTTATTTTCACAATTCCCTGCCTCTTCCATGTCATGCAGATCATTGTACCAATTAAGTCTCTGTTTATCACACACTGATGTTTTGTTTGTTGTGAATTGAGAATAACCTAATTGCAGCTTGAAATAGACTTGTCTACCCGCAGTCGATTTAAAGAGGAACTTACACTGAAGTTGGTCTACTTAATCTCATTTTTGATTGGTGACAAATATACAAAGCTGGATGCCGCACAAGGCCACTGAGGTCATAACCTCAGGTTGGTACGTAGGAAAGGGATGGCATGACAGATTATGAGATCAAAGCCCAAGAGTTGTCACTGGAAGAAGCAATGCAAGTGGTCTGCACCCACCAATGATGCAGACCATATGATGCTATCACTGGACCTCCAGGGATTCGTATTTGCTCTTCCCTAACCCAAGGGAGGGGGGGGATCAATGTCACTTTTCATATTAATATTTTTTTTCACCTACATCCAACACTACAGTTCCTACTTCTAAGTTATTAAACAAGTCTAAATGATTTGTTATTGATTACAATAAAGGTCCCTCTAAGTGATGCTTGTTTCATTATGTGTGTTGTTATTCTCAAAAGTTGTTAAAAAGGAAATAAGCTGTGAAAGCACATTTTGACTGTGTCAGGGTTATTTACTAATCTGTGAACTGACGGGAATTCTAAGTGAATTTAAAGTGAAAGTTCTTAATAGCGGGAAAAAAATAATAACTTAGAGAATTTTCCTATCTGGCAATTGGGACCAAAAGTTGAAAAAATTAGGTTCATTCAAAAAGTTTAATGAGCAAGAAACAGAGGAGATTTTGACTGCAAATAAAAATCATTCTGCATAGTCGGCAATCACTCATTTAAGACTCCTTTATTGACAGCAGGCTTGTAAAGAGTGGGTGGTGTTAAGCTGTCAATAAATGTGATACTTTCATAGGGTGGGATAATAAAAAAGGGGTTAAAACAACCTCCCCTGTTAATTTCTGTTTCTTCTTCTGAAACTCACAACCCAGTTGATGTCTTTAAGGATATACTTCCTTCTTTCTGAGCAAATTATACATTTTATTTAGTCTTTTTTTTTTCTGTAATAAATCCTTCCTGTTTTTCAAGCTGTCCAAAAATCCATTTTGATTATTCTTTAACCCAGTAAACCTTCTCCATCGTTACTGGTTATTACTTACCTTGGCAGCAACGTCCACTCTGATACCAACGTATCAGGATATAGAGGGCAGTGGCTCCGAGCATTACAGTCAAACTGCTGCCCAACACAACACCTAGAGCGTCCACCATGTCTAAGGGAGACAAAAAAGGTCACTGTTTGTTCACTACTGAAGGGTCAATAAAACGTAGAAGCAAACATTCTGATGGCAGATAAACGTTGCTTAGTCCGTGTAGTCATCATATTCTATATTTAATACTTCATTTTCATTTTGCTTCCTTAAAGGGAAACTATCAATATAAATGTATAATAAACATTTAGCTAACATTTCATAATCCAGTTGAGTCCAGGCACAGTCAGGACACACAATACATTAGAGAAGGAGAAACAAAAAAAGAAAAAAAATCCCAACACAGCATCTGCAAATGCCTGCCTCAAACCTCCGGTTATATCCCATTATTCTGGATACCTTCCAATTATCCATTCATAAACTGCCACACACAGACTAATAGCAACACACAGTCATTAACACATATTAGCACACAGGCTCACATTAGCATACATGTATATACACACCCAGCCTCACAGACATTTCCTGGCATACATACATACACACGTTGACACGGATACACCCACGAACACTAAGACTCACACAGCCATTCTATAACAGGTATGGAGACACACACAAGTAGACACCTGAAGACACATACTAACTCATGTTTCTGGGGTAACTTGACGTATGGGGCCCTGTGCAGATGCCCCTCTTGGTCCATCCAAAAGGCACACTTATGCCACCTCAATCTTCCCTAGTCTGCTGAGTCTTGAAGATATGGTTGGACTGAGGGTCAGTAGTCTACATTGCCCTCCATTCAACAGCAAAGTCTAGGTTGAGTATATCCAAGCCAGATGCTTGGTTTGCAAAAATAAAGCATTGCAGAAAACAATGTAAAGAATATCCACAGCTTGTAAATCCTGTCAAATCATTATCACAAACAAAAAACACATAATGTATTTTCCATAAATCCTGTCTACGCCTGTATTTATGTTTTTAGACCACTAGAGTGCATCTGCTCACAAGAATATTTGCTGCTGTCAAATCCACATTTGACAAGTTTGGAGATAATTGTCCCTTTATATTTTAGTTGTGTAGTTCTTTGAGGGCCTTGACATTTTAGCCAAGTCTCTCATATTTTTTTGTTTCTATTAATGGTAGTTGAACTTTTTCTTGTGTGTGTATTTTGTTCCCCCCCCATCTGTCACTGATTTGCCCAGAGTGTTCTATCACCCTTTGCTTTAAACCTGCATTTTGGAAAACACAATGACCAGCATTGACCAATGACTCTTTGGCCTGAGGCCTAGTACAAGTTTGCTCAAATGCATCACTCCTACTAGGGGACTTGTTTTCTATGTAGCTCTGCTTACTTCTTTTACAGATATTGCCAAGATACCTGTTTCTGTCAACTTTTAAAATGGATATTGTTTAAAAATTTATTTATATTTTTATTTATTTGAGTTGGCTATTTTTTGGGCCTCTTGGTAATTCATTACTTAAAGAGACACTCCAGGCACCAAGACCACTTCTGCCCATTGGAGTGGTCTGGGTGCCAACTCCCATCACATTTAATCCTGCAAGTGTAATTATTGCAGTTTTTATAAACTACATCAATTACCTTGCAGGGTTAAGTCCTCCTCTAGTGGCTATCTATCAGACAGCCACTAGAGGGACTTCCATGTTCTTAAAACATGAAAAGTGTTTTAAACGACGCTGGCCGTCCTCACTCTATGCACGAGGACCTCCAGATTCGCCGAAAATCCCCATATGAAAGCATTGAATAATGCGTTCCTATGGGGAGGTCTAATGCGCGCGCGGCTGATGTCGGCGGGGGAGAAGCGTGGGCAGAGCCTGACCCAGCGCCGAGGGACATCGGGCTGGATTCAGGTAAGTGACTGAAGGAGTTTTAAGCCCTTTCACCAACATGGGATGGGGGGTGAGAGGGAGGGGATACTGCAAGGTCCTGCACTGCCAGAAAAACAGATTTGTTTTCCTGGCACTGGAGGGTCCCTTTAAACAAGGCATTAAACATGATTGGGCTACTTTCAGCTTGGAGAGTTCCTCTAAAAGCAAAGTACTTTCAGAACTCTGCAAATTTTGGAGTCAGAATTGGAAAATTCTTAAAATTAGATTTTATATATATAAATATATATATATAAAACAACATATTTGAGTGATGCATAATTCGTGCTAAATTTGACAACTTGTCCATCATATTAATAACTTGAGGAACAACAACGGGCTGTTGTTTTCAATCTACGTTGCTATGTTTCTGTGTTACATGTTTAATGCCGCACTTAAATCTCTCAGAGAGATGAATCCAACATTTTCTCAAGAAGAATACTACAGCAAGCAAGTTTTCCTGTGTTTCACAACCGAACCTAATCCTCAGGAGGTGCTGCTTAATCATTTCATTTGTTCTTGGAAAATGATTCACTCTTACATTACGTAGAACTTAGGCAGCTTAAGGATCTTCTATGTGTGCCAGTGAGATGACACGGTGTTTTCCATCTCAAATTAACTGTCTAATACATTACCGTAAGTGTGGTCCAGTATAGCCCTGAAAAATGTTGGGAAATAAAATCAATGGAGAAGTTCTGGAGACATTGTACAGAACACTGGTGAGACCTCACTTGGAGTATTGTACACAGTACTGGAGACTGTATCTCCAGAAGGATATTGATACTTTAGAGAGAGTTCAGAGAAGTGCTACTAAACTGGTTCATGGATTGCAGGATAAAACTTACCAGGAAAGGTTAAAGGATCTTAACATGTATAGCTTGGAGGAAAGACGAGACAGGAGGGATATGATAGAAACATTTAAATACAGGAATCGACACAGTAAAGGAGGAGACTATATTTAGAAGAAGAAAAACTACCACAACAAGAGGGCATAGTCAAAGAAAAAGAGAAAGAGAGACTGCAGTGTTGGAAAAACCATCACCGATATCTCACTAGAGGTTACGAAGGTACCTGAGGGCATGAACCCTCAGAAACTGTATCAACAAAAGAAAAATAAGGTGGGATGGGAGGTCCGTCCACATAAAGTGGGCGGGTCCCCACTCCACTTAAAGGTACCTCTTAAAGTAAAAATTCGTACAAGTGGTATAAACCTTTATTGAGCTGAATACGTAAATGAAAATATAATATTAATGTGCAATCCTAACATAAGTGAAACAAAAATGAAAACCAAGTGATAATACACCTTTAAAATCTGGGTAGAGTTATCCTGAATAGCCACATTAAGTACTAAGAGGGCTATATATAAATATTGGGTTCATAGATAAATAGATGCCTCTAATGTACCGGTATATGAGTAATTGGTGACTAAATTGTATAAAAGACTGTATAGAGTTAAATTATATCTAAAGGGTACACAGGCTGTAGTGAGGAAAGCACACAGGAGGCAGTAGCAGCTAGTAATTGTATCCCACCTATAACAGATTAACACAGTACATATAGTGAAACAAAGTAGCTTTGCAAAAAACACATTGATGGATTAACTTGCACCCTAATTTAGATGGTGCCACTAGGTGGATCTTGTGCAGAATAAGCTGATTATAAATAGTGCTAGAATGCTGCTACTAATGCCTATCCATTCCGAGAAGTTAGGGATAGATATTCCACTGCAAAGTGGATATTGTGCAAATGACTCCTATCGGGATAGATAGAGGAGAAAAAAATAGTAAGCCTAAGGCAGAGAACACTCAGGTACTGAGATCGCTATATACATGGTCAGCCGAGAGGCCTAGAGTACCAGAGTAGCTATATAAAGATACCCTTCAGGCTTGCTGTACCGTGAGGCTGTCAGAAGGAAACACTCAGAAGGTGTCTATCACCTTTGGTAAAACGGCAGCCTTACTAAATGTACGGCAATTAGGTATAAGCTTCCAGGATACTGACTCCCAAGTGACACAAAGGCTAGCTGACAGCTAAGAACGGCTCAGGCGTTTCTCCTGCCGATGTTGTTATTTTTTTTTTAGTTTCTGGAGAGTTGGTCCTGTTTATGATGATCGGTAGACTTTTAGTGGGTGCTCACTAGGCAGGCTGCCTCGAAGCAGCAGTGGGAGATAGAGGATTGATACGTGAATTTACTTGGGGTAACGGAGCCATCCTTAGCTGTCAGCTAGCCTTTGTACGTGTCCTGGACAGTGCTCTTATTTGTCAGCTTTACAAAGAAACTAGTGTTACGTGCCAAAAGAACAGGGAAGGCATAGACCACTTTGTGACACACATTGCTGAACTTGGAGCTAGAGTTGGCCGATTATCATCTCATTCCCACCGGTACAGCACTAATGTTGGAGAGCTCCAGGACAATGTAATGGTGGCTTAACATAGAGCAACCTTTGTATCCAGATTTTCATTTTTATAAATAGATAGAAGTCCGCCTTGAAAGGGAGTCATTTATAAATAAGGAAATTATACTAAGGAAATTATTAGAAACATCAACAAGTCATTACTACTATTTTTGTGAATACAATACAATAGTGAAAATTTCTCAAAACATAAACGGTGATGCTACAATCACCTAGGTGCGCCACAATCACCACCCTAAAATACAGCAACAAACAAACAAGTAATGGTGAGAGCACACAAATAAATGAAATTAATACTACCCACAAATGATGTTCAAATAATTCCATATAGGGAGCCACTTAAAAAGTTGGCTCAGACTGCATGCCTTGAACGATAAGAAATTCCAATGGACCCTTCTTCGTATTTCTGTATTAAGTACCTCCAAGACGCTGGTTCAGGGGGTTACAAACAATTTATTTTCCAAAAAAACTCAATAATACTAGAAGAATGTCCAATAAAAACAGGAATCCACAACACCTGACGCGTTTCGGCTTTAAGCCTTCATCAGAGGTGATGTGTATACTCGTGGCTTGCAGTCTTTTAAATCTTCCTTTTGGCGCCTTTTTCGCCGTGATTTCGGCACTTCATTTCCGGGTTCTGCGTCAGAGCGTCATCTGCGTCCTCACGCTCTGACGTCACTTCCAGTCCCGATTGCGTAGTTTCCGGTACATACGTCCGGATGTGTCTAAAACGTCCGACGTCATCTTCTATCAAAATGATTAC